ACGCTCTTGCTCCAGATCAAACCCCAGACTGAATTATTAACACTGAACATCCCACCAATGTAGAAGCTGGTCATGTTGTTCCTTGGCTGGGTCTCTGCCCTGCCTGAAGTCCTCCCCACGGGCATCGAGCCCCCCCCCCGAATCTGGAAGACAACCCCTTCCCTAGCAGCCCCGCGAGGCTTCTGCTCCCCTTCGAACACCCCTGCCCTGTTGCACAGAGAAGGAGGCAACATAATTGAAAACAATTAGCAAACAGAATTGGCAAAAACAGTTAGCTTTGAGGTAAGACAAGCAGACCCTCCTTGGCTCCAAACTCAGAGCCAAGCCCCCACCCCAGACTGCTGCTGCTGCTGCTGGAGTTCACTGAGGCCAGACTTCTCCCATCCAGGAATGCGGGTGATGGGGGAAGCAATTTGTGGCAGGCAACTCCCAGCCATTGCAGTGGAAGTGTGTCCTCCTCCACAGCATCCCAGCGGGCCAGGAGGGAGTGGCTGTCAGCAGAGCACCTGGGGCAGCCACAGTGACCCACCATGAAGGCCTCTCGGCTGTGGGGCAAGGAGGCAGCTCTTCAATGGGGCTCACTGGGCAGCTGAGTGAGTGGGCAGCAGGAGGAGCTTTAGAAAGGGAAGGCGAGGAGCCCCATATTTCAGGGGAGCTGACCAGTCAAGTCTAGCCTCCAGCTACAGTGTGGAAAGTAGGGGACGTGCATCCAGGGCACCTCCCCAAGGAACCAGAGGTCAAGGTCAGAAGGGCAGTCAAGGCCCAGAATCAGCAAGGTAAAAGGCCACGGGAAGCCAGCCACCAGCCAAGAACAAACAGCACAGGGCCGCACTGATCTCCTTTCAAAGTCAACACAAAGGCTTCCCCAGGCCCACCTCCACTGCCAGGGTCAGCCCACGCAACAGACACACAACACACACACGGAGACACGTGTGTGTGCACCCGGACAGACACACCGCACATACACCGCATCCCCACCCCCCCATCCCTAGCCTCCTAGCTACAGACACTCAGATGTGCTCACAGTCACAGAACATCACCCACACACACAGCGCCTGTGCCTTTCTGATCTCTGCAACAACTGGTGACAGTTACAGGTTCAAACAGGCACAAAAGAAGAAATGCAGGAAATCACGGAGTTTCTCCAAAAGGGTGACAGGGAAGAGGGGAAGGAGGAGGAGATGGGCAGGGGACGAGGATGGGTCATCCCACACCATGAGGGCAGCTCCTCACAGCTCTCCCAAGCTCACAGGGACCCACACAGGGTCAGAATCTTCTCCTCTGAAACCACGTGAGGCAGGCCTAATGTGGTTTCAGAATAATAATACCCCACATTTGAACAAGACTCTACTTTTCAAAGAGCTCTTCCATCCTTTATCACCTCCTGGAGGAACGCCGGACAGGGGAGACGCTCATCTCCTCGGGCAGATGACCACTTGCCCCCACAGGGCCCAAAGATATTCTCTCCAAGATAATCTTTAATAGCGAAGCATATGTAATGGTTGTGTGAGCGTGCTTGTTTGTGTGTGAGTGTGTGCAGAGGCTTTATGTAGCAGAGTGGGATACAATCAAACAAAAATGAGGTTGCCATGGCAACAGGCTCCGGCATCATTGCAGCCTATTAACACAAGTGAGGAATGTGTTTGGCAGATGCTCGAGTGTTATTTATGGTATGGGTGTAGCAGAGGGACTTCTAACAGGCAAAGGAGGAGGAAAAAAACAACCCTGTGACGCTCCTACTGTACCCCACAGAGGAGACAACGGTGAAAGAAGAGCACAGGACACGCTGCAAGGCTGCAAGTAGAGAGTAAGAGATGGGAAGCAGAACCAGCAGGGAGAGGAGAGGAGAGGAGAGGAGAGGAGAGGAGAGGAGAGGAGAGGAGAGGAGAGGAGAGGAGAGGAGAGGAGAGGAGAGGAGAGGAGAGGGCAAGTTCCAGAGGGGACTAGAAGGGGTGGGAGAAGAAAGGAAGTAAGAGAGAAAGCAGAGGGGGAGGGGGACGGAGACAGGGGGGAGAGTTAGAGCAATAGATACAGGAAGGGGAGAAACACCCCCCCCACCCAAAGAGGACTACCTTTTGGTCATCTCTTAAGCAAAAACCATCAGGAGGCACCAGTTCAGAAACCAAATATTTCTCCTCTTCATTGGAGCAGAGGACAGAGCCCCAGCCATAAAAGGGGGCGGAAAAGAATAAAATACCCAGGTCAGATAATGATGCTGGGGACCTGGGCTGTGGGAGCAAGGGGGCCAGCCTTGCGGGAGGAGAAGTGAAGAAATGCCAACAGTTTACCCAGGGCCCATTATGTGTCCAAGGCACAGGGGACAAGGGATATTTCCAAAGCCCCGACGTTAGAAACCACGTCACCCCGTTTCGTTAGAAACCACATCACAAAAAAAAAAAAAAGAAAAGAAACCACATCACCCCGTTTCCCCCGAACATGTGTCTTTATCAAAGAAAAGAACAAGGCATCTAATGCAAGCCACCCTCAAACACCTGCTGCTCTGGGCTAATCGGAGGCAAAGCTGCATGCTGGGCTGTCCCACTAACAGTTCCCTACCATCCATCCGGGTTTGGTCAAGAAACACACATTTTTATATCAGACACAATCAAAAAGGTAAATCAAACACAAACGCCTCAAAATACAGTCTTCTCTGAAGCCAAATAGAACGTTTGCCTTCCCTAGTCCCGGACCATTCCTAACGGGCTCTGCTGTCAACAACAGAGCAGAACGTGAGAAGTTAGGTGTAAACCCACCCCAAAGCCTACAGCCAAGTCTAAAGACCACACTGGGTAAAAGCAGCACGGGATGAGAGAGGTGGCGAAGGTGGGGGAGAGAAGGGAGAAAGATTTGTGGGAGACAGAAGGGGAGTCTGTGGGACAGTCACTCCGCAGCCGCCAGGGCATTTTCGTGCTAAGCTGGGGTGGGGGCACCTCAGGACCAGAACTCCTTTCTTGGGAGCTGACTCCAGTCTCTTGAAACCATACATCTGGGATGGCCCGTGGCTGGTTCAGAAAAAATACCTCTGAATGACCCTGGAAACCTCTGCTTCTCCGTGTGAATGCCATGCCCTTCCCTCTGCAGAGAGGCTACACCCATCCAAGCAACCTGCCTCCTACCCAAGCCAGGAGCAACACCCAAAGATAGGACATCCGTGTGATAGCCTGGGTCCTCGGGTCACAAAGCCTTTAGGAGCACGAACAATAGCAGGCAACTTTTTCTGATACCACCACCACCTCTCAGTGGGTTTCTCTCTCAAGTTCAAAGCTGATCGCTCAAGATTTTTTTTTCCTTCTGATCCCGCATCAGAAAAACTTTAAGTAAGCTTCAACAGCCCCACCTCCTCGACTCCCTGGAGCACAACCAAGTTGGCAAGCAGTTATTAAACCCCTACTAAGTACCCTAAAATGTGCTAGACAAGGGAGAGAGGGTGGAGGAGAAAGAACACAGGAATCCTGCAAAGGAAACACGTCAGGAATCCTGCATCCAAGGAGCTGACACTGGACGGGGAGCGAAAGCAATGGGCCCTGGAAGATAAGTCAGTGCTCTGCTCTGTGGCTCTGACTCTATTGTTAACCCCGCAGAAGAGGGAGAGGCCAGCGGAGCTGGAATGGAAGGAAGGAGGGGCTCCTGGTGGGAGGTGAGGCTTGGCAGAGGTTGGGACTGGAAGGGGCGCACGCAATTCTCTGGGCCTCCAGAAAAGAACCCCAGGGGCCCAGAGAGGCTGCAGATCCTCTTCGTCCCAGTCACAGGGCACTTGGAGGTGCAGCTTAGAGCCCAGCTCCCCGGAGCCCATACTAGTGCTATTCCCTGTGGGGTGACGAGTCCCACACCCAGGAAGCTGCAGTGTGGCACAGGAAAACCCCTCAAGAGAGGGGCAGCACTCAACGGGATCAGAGTCTGAGACACGGCATTGGAAGCAGGGAGAAGGAGAAGGAGGAAGGCAATGCCAGTGGAATGGGGTCACAGGTTCTATCAGAGGACGCAGGCACCCGGAAGAGGTGTGGGGCGCAACATGGTCCCCGCTTGAGAGACTAGCCCCCTCGAGGGCTCGCTTGATGACTCTCGCGGCTGCGCAGTGTGAAAACAGGAGGGCTTAGCGGGGGTCAATGGGTGAAGCCCATGGAGCTCCAGACCAGGCCCCTGTGCGTGTCTCAGAGGGGCGGGTCTCAGCGGAGGTCAGGAGAGCAAGCACACCCCTCGCCCTCTAGAAGCCTCCAGTGGAGCCGCAGGTTAGCCAGGCAGAGGTTTGATTTCCTCCGGAGCCCACCCATCCGAGCCCGGGACACCGGTCTCCGCAGGAACAAACAGCCCCCACCCCGAGCAACTGGCCGGGAACACCCCAGGGGAGGGGTCACACAGCCCGCAGCCCGCGACCCCAGCTTTCTGCCCAGGCCAGGGGGTAACGCACTGCCACTGCCACCGCTCGCATCTCAGAGGCTCCTCCTCGCCTTTACAGTGAGGGCCGCTCTCTGGCTTAGGGCACTTCTGTAAACAAAACAAACTTGTCCGTCCTCCCTCAAGTTCAGGGGCGTCTCCAGCTCCCAAGTCCCCACGTCAGGACAACCGGCAGGGTTTATCACTTCTCCTCCTCGAGACTGGGCAAGGGAGTCTGGGCCCCAAGCTTGTATGCAAGGATCCCTGACAAACAGGGGGGAGAGGCTACAGCAGGGTCCTGCCACTCTTGTGAGGCGCCTTCTAGAGACAGGGGCAGGGAAGGGAGACCCCTCTCGGGGATCTTCTCCTCCAGCTCTTGTTCCTCACTCACATCCAGGCAACAGCGCTGTGTGTGTCCCACCCCCCACCCCCAGCCAAGCCAAGGCATCTTTTTGTAAGTGAACACGCAGGGGGGCTGAGAAGCTCTTTAGGCACCACACACCGGCGCAGCCACGTCCCTCGGGCCCTTTGCCCCCACTTTAGGGGGCGATGCAGTTGCTTCTCTTTGGGGCCTGCCCCAGGCCCGCCCCGCAACGCACAGTCCCCGCGGCCAGGTGGGCTCCTACCTGCTTGAGCAGGAACCGGTCCTGGGCGTTGGCGCGCAGGGCGATGGCCAGGTGCACGGCCGACAGGAGCACTCCGCTGAGGACGGCGGCCCGCATGCGCACGGGCAGCAGCGTGTAGATGGTGTAGATGAAGAACACGGTCCACCAGATGCCCTCGGAGGCGCTGCGCGGCTGGGGCAGCAGCAGGCCCACCACCTGCACCGCCAGCACCACGGCGATGAGCGCGTAGCAGGCCAGGCCCATGTGGTCCTGGTGGAAGGCGGCGCGGTTGCAGAGCACGGCCATGACCAGGATGACCCCGACCGCGGCCGCCAGCACGGCCAGGTGGGGCAGCCGCAGCGGGGGCCGCGCCGCGTGGAAGGCCAGCATCACGAGGCACACGAGCACCAGCACGGCCATGAGCATGGTGAGGCTGCTCTGGTTCAGGCGGAAGAAGTAGCGCTGGTACAGCCGCTCCAGCTTGTCCGACGGGAACTTCTTGGAGCGGAAGATCTGCAGCAGCGCGCGGCAGCAGGCGCCCGGCCCCGCGGGGCCGTCGCCGTCCGGGGCCCCGCGGTCGCCCCCGGGGGCGCCGGCCTCGGGCTCGGGCTCGGGCTCGGGCTCGGGCTCCGCGCGGCCCCGGCCCCGCCGCTCGTCCAGGCCCAGCTCCACCGAGCGGGGGCGCACCTCCGCCCCGCCCGCCGCCGCCGGGCCGCCGCCGCCGCCCGCAGGGGGCGCCCGGGAGCTGCCCCCGCCCGCCGCGCCCCGCCGCCGCCGCCGGCTGCCGCGCCCGCAGTCGTCGCCGCCGCGCTCCTGCCAGGCCGACCTGGAGCGGAAGCTGAAGCCGAAGCCCCCGGCCAGGGGGTCGTCGCCGCCCAGCGGGGGGTCGTCGTCGCCGCGCCAGCGCTTGGCCAGGCGCTGCTGCTGCACATGCTGCTGCTGCTCGTGCTGCTGCTGCTCGTGCTGCTGCTGCTCGTGCTGCTGCTGCTGCTGCAGCTGCGGGGTCACCGCCCCCCCGGGCTTCTTGCTGCAGCCGCGGGTCGCGCCCCCGGCGGCGTGCGGGTGGCCGTTGGCGCGGGCCTCCGCCTCCCCCCACGCCGCGCGGTGCTCCGGGCCCCCCCGGGTCGCCGCGCAGCCCGGGGGGCTCGCGCTCCGGGGCCCGGACATGCCCCCCGCGACCTGGTCGTCGTCGTCTTCCTCCGCCCCCGCGGGCCGCGCCGGGGGTCTCCCGGGGGACGGCGGGCGGCCGAGCAGGGGCACCAGGCTGGGGTCACACGTCGGGGGCGGCCCGGGGCCCTGCGCCGCGGCGGGGCATCTCGGCAGCCCCGTCCTGAGCGGCGAGGCCGAGGGCAGCAGCAGGCGGGCCGGCGCGGGCAGGCACAGCCCCGCGGTGGGAAGCGGCGGCCGCGCGGAGCCCCGGGAGGTGGAGTCGGCCCCGGGCTGGGGCGGCGGCGGCGGCGGCGGCGGCGGCGGCGGCGGCGGCGCGCAGGGGGCGCCCGGACTCGCGGCTCGCGCGGAGCTCGGCGGGGACCGGAGTTGCGGGCGAGGCGGGACGGAGCGGCGTCCTTGCGGCCGGCGGGGCCGGGGCCGGGGCCGGGGCCGGGGCCGGCGGGGCCGGGCGCGGAGGCCGCCTAAGCGGGGCCCGGCGGCGAGGCGGCGAAGGCGAAGGCGAAGGCGAAGGCGAAGGCGAAGGCGAAGGCGAAGGCGCGGGGGTCCCGGCGCGCAGACCCGGCGGGCGCCCCTGGCTCGCGGCGGACCCGGAGCGACTGGGAGGTGCGGGCGCCAGGCAGCATTATGTCCTTACGAGGGGTGGGGAGGTGGGATGGGGGGCGGGGAGGACGGGGAGGGGGCGGCGGGCGGAGCGACGCTCGGGGCCCCGGGGGGTGGGTCCTGGAGCCCGGGGGCGCCGCCGCCCGCACCCCCACCTCCCGCGGCGGGACTGCGAGCCGGGCCCCGCGCCGAGCCCAGCCGAGCTCTCGGGCGCCCGCGCGCGGGGCGGGGGGGCGGGGCGGGGCGGGGGCGAGGCCGGCTCCTGCGGCGCGGCCCTGGCCCTCTCGCCCCCTCCCCTCCCCCTCCCCCTCCCCCTCCCCCTCCCCCTCCCCCCTGCCCTGCCCTCCCCCCGCCGCGCGGAGCCCAGCCGAGCCCAGCCGAGCGGGACCCGCCGGCCCGGAGCGCCGACCCCGCAGCCCCCTCCCCGCCGCCGGCTGCCGGCCTCCGCGGCGGGCGCAGGGGTCTAGGCGGAGAGCGGGCCGCGGGGCCTCCGCAGGCGGGCGCCTCCCGGGGAGCGCGGCATCCGGAGGGCGAGGCCCAGCGCTCGGAGCCGCCGCGGCCCGGGGGCGCTCCGGGGAGGCCCGCGGGAGCCCGGCTCGGGGCGCGCCAGGCACGCTCCTCCCTGCGCGCCCCCCGCCCCCCGCCCCCCGCCCCTGCGCCCCGCCGGCATCCCCAGGCCGCGCCCCGCGCAGGGTCCCCAGCGCCCCTTCCTCACCTAGAGGGCTCGCCGCGCCCCCTCCCTCCCGGGCGCCTGCAGCCTCGTCCTGAGCCCCGACCCGCGGCGGGGAGCGGGGGGCGGGGGCGGGGAGGGGGAGGGGCGCGCCCGGCCCCGGCCCTCCCCCGCCCCCCTGCTTGGGTCCCGGCGCCCCCAGTCCGAGCTCCCCTCTTTTGCATCCCCCTCGACTCCCCCTCCCCCCTTCAGCCCAACTTCAGCCCCCGCGCCGCGCCCCCCCTTCCTGGCCCGGCTCGATTGGCCGCTTCCCGAGCTGTCAGACTGGAGCCCCGCGCTCTTATTGGGCGATCCTCCGGCCGGGCGGCCGTGCCGAAGGAGGGCGCACCGGGCCGGGGCCACCGGGCAGCCACTGCCGCAGGGAGCGGGAGACCGGCGGCCCCCGAGGCCCGGAGGGCCAGGCCCGCAAACGGACGGGGCGCCCGGAGACTCGGAGGACCTCGGACACGCGGGAAGCCAGGGACGGAGAGGATGGAGATGCAGTGGGTGAGGCCGAGGCCGAGGCCGGCGGGGCGCGGCGGGGCGGAGGGTACCCAGGGGGAGCCCGGGGAGCACCGCGCCGCGGAAGAGCTTTTCGGATGCTCACACTTTTTCTTTCTGGTCTTCTTCCTTCCTTCCTTCCTTCCCTCCCTCTCTCCTTCCTTCCTTCCCTCCCTCCCTCTTTCCTTCCTTCCTTCCTTCCCTCCTTCCCTCCTTCCTTCCCTCCTTCCCTTTCCTTCCTTCCCTCTCTCCTTCCTTCCCCTTCCTTCCTTCCCTTCCTTCCCTCTCTCCTTCCTTCCTTCCCTCCCTCCCTCTCTCCTTCCTTCCTTCCTTCCCTCCTTCCCTCTCTCCTTCCTTCCTTCCCTCCTTCCCTCCTTCCCTCCTTCCCTCTCTCCTTCCTTCCTTCCCTCCTTCCCCTTCCTTCCTTCCTTCCTCCCTTCCTTCCTTCCTTCCTTCCTTCCTTCCTTCTCTCCTTCCCTTTCCTTCCTTCCCTCCTTCCCTCCTTCCCTCCTTCCCTCCTTCCCTCTCTCCTTCCTTCCTTCCCTCCTTCCCCTTCCTTCCTTCCTTCCTTCCTTCCCTCCTTCCCTCCTTCCTTCCCTCCTTCCCTCCTTCCTTCCCTCCTTCCCTTTCCTTCCTTCCCTCTCTCCTTCCTTCTCCTTCCTTCCTTCCTTCCTTCCTTCCTTCCTTCCTCCTTTTCTTTCCCTTTCTTTCCTTTCCTTTCTCTTTCTTTCTCTCTCTTTAAAAATCTCATTTGGCTTCCTTCAAGAGCCCTGGGATATGACAGGGAGCAAACAGGGCTCATGTGACTATTCCCAACTTATAGATCCAAAACTGAGACTTGGAGAGCATGATCGGCTTGCCATAGTGACACGAGTTCCCTATCTTGCAACCCTTAGATCTTTCATCAGCACCAAACTGCCTCCCGTGGACCTAGCAAGCCGTTAGCCCAGAGCAAAGTGGGGTCCCCGCTGGACAGGGAATGAATAGCTATTCCTGCACAGCACCAGCCCCAGAGAGGCAGGAGTGGAGAAAAGGACTTGACTGCAGGGCGATGAGGACCTTGATCTGTGGACCCATGTACCCACCCAATTCTCCTGGCCCCTGAGCTGTCCTACCGCAAGTTCTGGCAGTGTAACCAGTGGGAGGGGTAGGGGACCCCATCTCTACCAGAGAGAAACAACCTTCCCTTTACTCTTCTTCCATCAGCTCTCTCTGCAGAGTTTCTGACAAGGAGCCTGGAGTGTGAGTCAGCTTCCCTTTCTCTCTGCTGGTCATCTTCTTGCAGATTGCAAGATAAGCCTCGCCAGAGTTACAAATTGGGAGGAAAAACCCAAGAGATAGGAATAAGATAATCCTGGAGTGATTCAGCCTTTGAATAATCAATCCATAATTAGCTAAGTCATAAAAAGCACCAAGAACTTAGTTAACAACCTTCAAAGAACACCTGTTAGGTGCAAAGCACTGGGCTGGGTGCAGCAGGGATAAGAGATGAGCCCACCTTGGTTACCATCACTGAGGGGCAGGAGAGCCACAATTTGGTCATTTTGGGGGAGTTCAGAGAGAAGGCATTACTTCCCATGGTGAAGGGCAAAAAAAAAAAAAAGGAAAGAAAGAAAAAAACTCTGGAGGTCGAATGTGGGACTAGCAAAGAAGGATGAATAAGAAGAAAGGAGGAAAGGACTGATATGTAGTCTTTAGTGAGCAACCACTATGTATCTGTAGACGTTCTATTGTCATATAAACATTTTGAGGAAGATGTTATTCTCCCCACTCAAAGATGAAAAAGTGAGACTTCGAGAATCAAGGCCCATAGTCTGTAGCAGGATGGAACCTAAGTTCAGCCTGCTTCTTGTACCTACCACACGGCCTGCAGCATACATGGTCCGAGAGGGACACTCCAATAGGCAAGTGCATGGACAGGCCCAGATGGCCAGCGGTGTCGGGGTGATTGGGTTCCATCCTTGATCCTCTTATTCCCTGAAGCCCTCCCTAGTTCATTCCTTTTCATTTTATTTGAATGTTTAAAATAACCATCATCTTACCAAAATTATTCCCTTTTTTAAAGATTTTATTTATTTGAAAGAGACGGAGAGCGAGCACGAGCAGTGGGAAGGGGCTGAGGGAGAAGCAGACTCCCCACTGAGCAGGGGATCTCAGGGTCCTGGGATGTGGGGCTCCATCCCAGGACCCTGAGATCATCCTGAGCCAAAGGCGGATGCTTAGCTGACCGAGCCACCCAGGTGCCCCCCAAAAAAGCTATTTATGGTTAAATGTAGAAAAACTAACCAAAAAAAGAAGAAAAGACAAAAGCAAACACAATCATAATCATACCACCTAGAAAGAACCATTAACATCTTACTTTAACAAAAAATAGAGATTTTACTGTACAAATAGTTTTAGAATCTGCATTCTTCTACTTAGCTAAGTATTGTGTTTTTTCATATCGTAAGCATTCACCTACGATATTCATTTTATTGTCTAAACAGAATTCCATTGCGTGAATATGGCATAATTTATTTAACCAATCCCCTACTGTTGGACATCTTTCATTGTCATAGCAGTTTATAAAAAGTTTCCACTCTTTTACTGTTATAAACAATGAGCATTTTTGCAGATAAATCTTCACACACATCTTTATATCCTTAGGAGAAAGTCCTACAAGGAGAATTGCTGGGTCAAACGAGAAACATTTTTTTTCCCTTAAAGTATTTCTTAAATTTCCTATCTTCGACCCCTGCCTCAGAGTCCTGCTGCCACACCTTCCGCTTTTCACATCTGTCTTCTTCCACATTCTCATCCTCCCTGCTCCTTGCCTGGACCATCTCCAGCTCTCTCCTCCCTCCGTCCTCCTTGCTTTCAGTGCGGCTTCTCCTTTGTCCCCCACTTTGATCACGCAGGTCACACCCCAGAACTGAAAAGTGTCCACAACATAGTCCCTTCCTGCCTGCCTGCTTTCACTGCCTACCACACGTCCCCTTGTCATCCAGCCACCCTGAGGTGCCCCTTAAGCCTCTGTAGAGAACACCTTTCCTCCTCTGCACAAATCACCTTGGTGGCACCTCTGTGAAACCCTCTCTCCTCCTCACCCAGGCTGTGAGCCATTCCCTCCTCCTCAGCTCCCAGCACACCTTGCTTTTATCTCTATTATAGCACTTGTCACATTGTATTATCTTCACTTATTGTCAGAACTCTCTCCTGTCAGCTGAACTCCTTGTGGGCAGAGTTGGTATCTTACTCATGCCTGTGCCCTCTGCTTACCCCGGTGTCTGGCACATAGGAGGTGCCCCATAACTGTTTGTTGATAAGCAAATGGTACATCGGAGGAATAGTGAGCAGAATGGAGTCTGCTGCTGGGGGCGGGGGTGCCTATTGCAACTGGCAGCAGTAGATGAAGATGGAGAGGTGGACTGGACTCTGGAACACCAGAGGGAGGGTGGGCTTCAGTTTTAAAAGCTCCTGAATTTGGGGACAGGAGTGTTCTGGTCCCTTATGTTTTGGGAGGCAAACTCTGGCAGTGATGTAGCTCGACTGAGAAAACAAGATCCAAGAGCTCAGGGGACCAGTAAGGCAGCTACTGCAGAGCGCATGGACACTGAGCCCGAAAAGTGGTGCAGTGAGAATGATGCCATTGGTTGGCAGACACCCATGGAAGGCTGAACCCAGGGGTCAACCTCTGCGAAGAGGAGGAGTCCTCAAGATCAGAAGAAAACTAGGAAAGGAACAAAAGGCAGAGGTTTTGAAGACCAAGTCCAGGATGTGCACCTGACTGTTGTCATCGGCGAGGGGCTGCCCCAATGCCAGGTCAGGCTTCTTTCTGAAATGAGTGCTTGGTTTGCAGACGTTGAGGTGACGACACACCCCAGGGCCCTGCGGGTCCTTTGGGAGATCTGCAGACGCGCCCTCCCTCCTCCCTCCAGTCATCTTCCCCCTTGTGCCTCAGTCATGCTTTAGGATTTTATTCTTCCCTCTTTTTGGAAGAATATCTCTATTTTGGTAAATCAGAATATTAATATTTTAGAATATTTAGAAAAATTGGTAGAAGTGGGCATCAGTACTAGTCCCCTACCTAAAAATACCTCCCCTCACACTGCTTAAAATTCCACCATTTGATAGTCATGCTTTGGGATGACAGTCATTCCCTAAAAATGAATGCAACAAATGTAGAGACAGAAAGTAGATTATTGGTTACCTGGGGATGGGGAGTGATGACTAATGGGCCCAGGATTTCTTTAGGGAGGTTAGGAAGATGTTCTAAAGTTAGATTATGGTAATGATTGCACAACTCAAGAAATATACTAAAAACCATTGAATTGTACAGTTTAACTCACCAGGTGAGCCTTATGGTATGTAAATTATATCTCAATAAAGGGGTTGAAAAAAATGAATGCAGACGCCCCTCGGAGATTGAAGGATTCATGCCAGGGCTGTGAGATGTCATCAAGTCAGTGTGAATGAGTTTCATCAGCGGGCTTCCCCCACTAATATCCACCCAAGGCTGGGGCACTAAGAGAATGGATGCTTGCTGTTGAGGATGGAGATAAGTGAGGGAGAGGAAGGAGAGAATGCCTAGGACCACTGAGCATTTCCCAAGGCAAATGGAACCAGAAAAGGGCATGGGATCCTGGGAATCGGAAGGAAGGGGCGGAAATAAAAGCCAGTTAGGATTTGAGGGTCAAAAATGAAACTTTGCCCTGCCCTGTAATGAGGTCTTCACAAGGAATCAAGGAACTCTAAAACCCGTCGTCGGGACATCTCTTGGGTGAAAGATTCTTCAAGATCACCCCATTCCCAAAAGTGTGTCACTCTCCCCTGGATATTTGCATTTTGTGAGGAAGCCCCACCCTTCAAACTAGATTTACCTTTCCCCATAAAGAGTTACCTCATTGTTATCCCCAAATCCGAGAGTGGCTAACAGGAGGGACAACTGAGTGTCATGAGGGTAGGTTAGCCTCGGAGGCTTGGCGCACAGTGTCTTAGCCACTGGGCATGGGTGGCTGAGGCCCCGGTGGTCCCTGGGAGCCAATTCTCCACGTTAGCCCAACCCCTACCAGGAGTTCGGAAGAACCAAGGCTCTCCGCCCCTCTCACTCTTGAACTCTGGCTTCCTTGGCTTGGAGATCACAGGTAGTAAGAAGCTTGCCATTGGCCATAGGGAACCAGGCCCTAGATTTTTCCAGACCTACACTCTTCCAAACCTCTGGGCCTCAGGGAACAGGAAATATTCAAAGAGCTCAGATTGTAGCTGAGGTGGAAATGGCTGATAATAGCTCGATCTGCCACTCTCCCAGGTGTTGACATTTGCATTTTAATGGAGGCGGTTAATGCCTTCAGTTGAAGGAGTGACTAATCTGTTCTTTCAGTTGCTGCTGGAGGTGAGGGAGAGACCCTTTGCTGCCCGGGGCGCTTAATGCTTCCAGTCCCCGCAAGATACCACCTGATCTGCAGCTGCCGACCCCTCGGACTCCAGTGCCCACAGTCCATGCTTTATCTCGGTTCCTGTTCTTGCTTTGCTTGCTTTCTTGAGCTTTATCCTAGAAGTCGGGAAACATCCCCGTGAGTCACTTATTCTTTCAATACACATAAACTGATTATCCATTTCAAGCAGAAAACTGTGCTGGGCACAGTGGAGTGGGGACAGCTCAAGAAGTGTGCCAGCCGGGTGGCACCCTCGAGAAGTCAGAGGTGAGGGAATCACAGAAAATGCAGCACAGCGGTGCCACGTCAGCAGAGAGCATGTCGCGCACGGCTTATGCCGGGTGCTTCTTGAACACTCCAAGCAAGAGGCTGTGACCTAATAGGAGAAAAACATTCCTAGAGGTTGGGGGAGCAAGAAGACTTTTGGGAGAGATGAGAAGGGCCTTAGATATGCATAGAAATTGGGTATTCAAAGACAGGATGGAGTTCCCAGGATTTAAAACATTCCTCTGGGGTGCCTGGTGGCTCAGTGGGTTAAGCGTCTGGCTTGGGCTCTGGTCAGGATCCTAGGGTCTTGGGATTGAGCCCTACATCCAACCCTACATCCAACCCTACATCCAGCCCTACATCCAGCCTTACATCCAGCCTTACATCCAGCCTTACATCCAGCCCTGCATCCGGCTCCCTGCTCGGTGGTGGGGAGCCTGCTTCTCCCTCTCTCTCCACTATGCCCCTTGCTTGTGTTCTCTGGCTCTCTCTCTGTGTCAAGTAAATAAATAAAATCTTTTAAAAATATATAAATAAATAAAACATTCCTCTAGTCACAAAAGGCCACCCATTCTATGATCCTATTTATAGGAAATGTCCCAAAGAAGCAGATCTACAGAGATGGGAAAAAGGATCAGTGATCACCTGGAGCTGGGGGGTCGAGGGAGAGGCGGAGACTACGGCTAATGTGTACAACGGGGTGGGGAAAGCGGTCCTAACGTTCTGGCTTTGGTTCCACAACTCTGCAAAGACACAAAAAATCATTGAATTACACACTCTCAATGGATGAACTTCATGGAATGCAAATTATATTGCAATAAAGCAGTTAAAAAATGGGGGAAAAGATAAGGCCCAGAAAGACCATGCCTTCGGTATCCCTGCTTCACAGTTATAGAAAGAATATCCAAAAAAAAGAATATCCTAGTGTTAAGCTCCTAGTTTTTTTCCTGTAGGAAGGTCCCTTTTCCTCTTGTGAAAGCCTACTTAAAATTTCAAGGACCCCGATTTTAGTTAAGAAAATACATTATGGTAAAAGGCTATTTAGGTTTAGCGATTGATTTAAACAAATTCATACTTTATTAATCCCAATAGCATCTACCCGGTAGGACAGTGGTTCTGTATCTGTAGGGGGAGCATGTTTATTATGCCTACAGACAGGGCTTAGTGGCCTCTCTTTCAAGATTTCCTCAGGTCCTTCGAGGTCCTCAGGCCACCGGTTTAGAATTCTGGTCCATGCTCTACCAAGGTGTTTTTGGCTCAATTTCTCTGACAGGTGAATGCTAATGGATGGAGACCCACTAGCAAAAAAAAAAAAATGTGATATACTCTTCACCCATTTGATGTTTCAGCCTTTTCAAGTGCTCAGCCAAAATGGCACCCTTTCTTTTCCTAAACCAATGGGCTTGGCTGAGAGTAGATCCAGCAAAGAAGACGGCCAGAGCCATGCCAGTTGGCAGACACTTGTCTCTAGCAAATGTAATTAAAGGCAGCAGCAAGTAAGTGCCTATTAATTTTTCATTAGAAAAGTCAAAGGCTACCTTGTTTGAAGGCAGCATCACTGAATTTCAGCCTTGGAGTTAAAGCCAGGCTTTTCCCCACTGTGTATACGCCCCACTCTATGAGCACACACACATGCACACACACACAGACACACACACACACCCTTTATCGAGTATAAGAGAGAAAGCATCAGAGACAAGCACTCCCATACTCTTCAGAGTCCCATTTCGACTTAAATTACCCCATGGCTATCGGTACATGTAACTATGTATCTGAACCTTATATGATATAATGATATCTCTCCAAACTGTGTTTACGAACCATTTTTGTAATTTGAACCTTTTTTAAGATACCCTCCGGGAGAGTACTATTCAAAGCTCTCTATGGCAAATCCTTTTATAAAGAGAGTATGCTGCTTCCTCCCTAATGTGTTTGTTTTGTAAGCCAGGGGCAATGTTGCAAGGTTAAGAAGAGGAGAGCTAGGGGTTGGGAGGGAACCCCCTCACCACCACCCCAATCTGGCCCTAACAGCTGTCTCCCTATTGTTAGGCTGAGCCAGTTCAACTAGGGAAGAGCTCTAAGCTTGGAGTCAGAAGATCTGGAGGTCCTCCACCAGCTTGACTAATTCCTCGCTGTGTTACGTCTCAAGAGTCACTTCACCTCTCTGAACTGCAGTCCCCAGCTAGCAAGAATAGCAAATGCCCCCTTACCCCTCCTTGATGACTTGTTATGAGGATCAGGACAATGATGAGAAATTCCTTCTCAAATTATTCGCCCTTCTGTGAAATCGGAATCATTCTTAATTATAGCCGCTTGATAAATTGATTCTTAACATCTAAATCCAGATGTTCATTTAAGAGGTAAGCACGGAATGAGACGTATCTCTGGGTCTCAGGCTCTTGCATACGTTTATGGATGACGGTGATAAATATTTTTATGTCTGTGCTGTGTGTGTACCAGCTCCCCTAGTAGTCGGGGAGATCTGCTCTTTCATCGCTGCTGTGTTCAAAGCAGAGCCCCCAGGGCCATGCAGATGAAGTGTCTGTTCTCAAAGACGGTCCTCCTTTTTTTTTTTTTTTTTGTAAAGACGGTCCCTCTTTTGGGATTCTGATGGACTGCCGCCTGTCTGCCGGGCCGGGGCCGACTGGAGACTGGAGAGCTGAGTCGTGAGTCGTCCTGCAGGCGTGGGTGGTGATCACAGCGGTCTGTGAGGAGCTGGAGTGGTGCTGAGCGCTTTTGCTCCTCTCCATGGCTACTACTCTGCTTGGCCTTGGAGTGGTCTTGTCCAGTCTCTGTGTCACTGACTTTGGATCTGTGATTGGGGATGGCACGGCAAGCCAAGCTGTGTTAGAAATCTTGCTGGGGCTGGCTGACCTTCCCCAAGCTGGGATAATCTCTCTCCCTGGCAACAGGCAGAGGCACCAAGGGACAGTGACAGATTGCGAAATCCTGGGGTTGGGCTTTCTAGAATTACTTAAAGAGAGAAAATAGTAACAATACCTTGCATTTGTATAGTGCTTTAAAAAAAAAACTGAAAGCAGTCTTCAGAAACTATTCAAGGAAAAGGCAGCTTTGGAATTGTCTGGTAAAGAATGAACCAGGTGGGTAAGAGATGTATTGTCTTATTCTCATCTACTCAATAACATTGGAAGTATTAGAAGAAATCTCCCCCACCCCAACACAACACAGATGAGGGTGCAGAGAAGGACAAGTGGGCTGACTTGGCCAATATGACACAGCATTGGGGGCAGAATTTGACTTAGCCTGCTTAACTTTTTTTGTTAACCCAAAGCAGGCAGAGAGGATGAAGTTGAATGACCTAACAATTTGGTTTATTTTGCATGTGGACAGCTCTTCCTGAGTCAGATTTTTGACTTGGTCCTCTGGGCACATACAGGAATATGCTCCTAGTTAGCGATCAGAAAGCAATGAAGAAGTGTAGAGGTGGGGCATGAGAAGAATTGTCCTTTTCTAGAGAGATACCTACCTGTGGTGAGGTCACTAAGGATCTTTAACCAAGGCAGGACCAGACCCAACAGATAGGGATGGATGGAGCTGCCTCTGTTGCCTGGGAGTCTCAGTGATGTTGGAAGAAGGGGTCAGCAAACTCCGACCAGTGGGCCGTATGTGGCCATTACTTGTTTTTACAAATAAAGTTTTAGGGCCCATGGCTGGCTCAGTCGGTGGAGACTGTGACTCTTGATCTCAGGGTTGTAAATTCAAGTCCCACTTTGGATGTAGAGATTACTTAAAAAAATAAAATCAAGAAGAAAGAAAGAAAGAAAGAAAGAAAGAAAGAAAGAAAGAAAGAAAGAAAGAAAGAAAGAAAGAAGAAAGAAAGAAAGAAAGAAAGAAAGAAAGAAAGAAAGAAAGAGGATTTATTGAAACATAGCCATACTTATTTATTTACTGTCTCAGTCTGCTTTCACACTAGATGACAGAATTGAGTAGTTATGACAGAGATCAGATGAACTACAAAGTCTAAAATCTTCATTATTTGATCCTTTTGCAAAAATTTTGCCAACCAGGACACCTGGGTGACTCTGTGGTTGAGCACCTTCCTTCAGCTCAGTCCGTGATCCTGGAGTCTGGGGATCCAGTCCCTCATCAGGCTCCCTGCACGGAGCCTGCTTCTCCCTCTGCCTGTGTCTCTGCCTCTCTGTGTCTCTCATGAATAAATAAAATCTTTTTTTTTAAAAAAAAAGTTTGCCAGCCTTTATTTTATGCCAAACCACACAGAAAATGTGAAATTTATCATAGACCTAAATGTAAAACCTAAAACTATAAAAAGAGTACACAGGAAAAAAAATATTTGTGATTTCGGGTTACAAAGATTTCTTTGATATAATGCCAAAAGTAAAAATGATTATTTTTCAGGTTATTTAATAATTTATTGATAAATTAAGACTTCATTAAAATGAGAACTTTCAAAAGACATTGTTAAATGAGTGCAAAGATAGGCCACAGACTGGGGGAAATTATTTGCGGATCACCTTCCTGATAAAGGATTTGTATGCAGCATCTATAAAGAACTCCAAATTCAATAATGAGAAAACAATGCAATAAAAGCATGCAAAATATTTGAACAGACATTTCAGCAAAAATGGAGGAAAATATACAGATAACACATAAGGACGTAAAAAGATGCTTAGTCATCAGGGAAAAGCAAATTTGAAGCGCGACAAGATACCACTATACATCTATTAGAATGGCTAAAATCCAAGAGGGACTGTACCAGTGTTGGGCAGGATATGGAGAACTAGAACTGTCACACACTGCTCGTGGGGATGTAAAATGGCACAACTACTGGGAAACACGTTGGGAGTTTCTTAAAAAGTTAAGCATAAGCATACACATACCGTATAATTATCAATTTCACTTCTAGGTATTTACCCAAGAAAAACGAAAGCATATAAGCAGATGTCAAATGAAAGCATATACGCAGATGTCTGCGCAACGTCCTATACACTAATTTTTATAGTGGGTTTATTTATAACTAGAAGCAACCCAATATTCATCAACAATTGAATAGATAAATTTGGTATAACCATGCAATGGAATATACTCAACAATAAAAAGGGATGAGCTATTGATACATTCAACACCATGAATAAACCTCAAAATGATTATAATTATCCTGAGTGGGAGAAGCCAGACAAAAGAGAGTGTATACTGCATTATTCCATTTATAGAAAAATTCTAGAAAATGCAAACTAATCTGTAGTGCTAGAAAGCAGACGGGTGGTTGCCTGAGAATGGCAAGTGGGCATAGAGCAGGAGGGATGGGTTACAAAGGGGCACAAGACAACTTTAGGGGTTAATAGATATTGAATTGTCATGATTGTGGTGATGATTTCACAGGGGTGTGTGTGTGTGTGTGTGTACACACACAAATATTATGTCAAAACGTCAAGTTGTGGGGCACCTGAGCGGCTTAGTGGTTGAGCGTCTGCCTTTGGCTCAGGTCGTGATCCCAGGGTACCGGGATCGAGTCCCCCATCAGGCTCCCTGTAGGGAGCCTGCTTCTCCCTCTGCCTACGTTTCTGCCTTTCTTTGTGTGTCTCTCATGAATAAATAAATAAAAATCTTTTTTAAAAAGTCAGATTGTATACTTTAAATGTTTGCAGTTTATCCTATGTCAATATATGTAGCTAGTTTAATAAACCAGCTGTTTGTAACTAATAAAGCTATTTTTTAAATTGAGGTATAATTGACACATACCACTACATAAAAAACTTTTTTAAAAGGAAGAAAGGGTGGGGGAAGCCCTGAAGTTGTTCTTTAAACACTCTGTGTAGTTTGAAGTAGCCAGCCTACTCCTCAGGCTTTCTATTCCTTATTCTCACCACAATGGTTTCTCTCAGCAGTGGCTCTGTCCTGCAAAGCCTTGCCTTCATCAAAGGTGACCACAGAGGTTAACTGTATTGCCAGGGTGTGATGTAAACTACTGAACGCTATCTCCTAATGTAATAGGATCATTGTTGCCTTTGAATCCAACTAGGTCAGGTATCCAGTCTCAGAGAACAGCATCCACTCTAACTAGTTGAAGCAGAAAGGGATGTATTCAAAGATACTGGCAGCAAGTTCCAGGAGGAAGTTCTCGGCCATTTCTGCATCTAGGAGCTACCTAGGTATGTGGGGAATGATCTGACTGTAGAACCACCAACTCTACGTTGGAGATAGAGCTTTTTAATGGTGTTTCCCCCCTAACGGGTCGTGATTTCCCAAATCCTCTTCTTGTGAAACTGCTAGCAACGCTCAACTTAGAACCAGGGATAAACGGGCCTCCCAGGTGGCTCAGTTGTTTAAGCAGCTGCCTTTGGGTCAGGTCATGATCCCAGGGTCCTGGGATTGAGACCCACATCAGGCTCCCTGCTCAATGGAGAGTCTGTTTCTCCCACTCCCTTTGGTGCTCCCCCTGCTTGTGCTCTCTCTCTCTCTCAAATAAATAAATAAAATCTGAAAGAAAAAAAAAGGAAAGAAAAGAACCAAGGATAAATGGCTTATTCCAGGGAAAATTTCATGGGATAGGGAAAGGACAAGGTGACTCTGGAATGCCTCCTTGGACTAGAATGCAAAGACTGATGAGGACTTTGATGAGGACATGTCAAAAAAAAAAAAAAACACAGGACGCTGCACATCTACTAGAATGGCTAAAACAAAACAAAAACCTGACAAGGCCCCAAGAAGGGATTCCATGCCCATTCTGGTCCCAGCTGCCGACAGTGCAGTGAGATACCTCTGAGGACCTGCATGTGGAGCAGAGACACTGTATCAGCCTCCCTGGGAAACCTTTGGGGAAGCCGCCAGGAGAGTGGGCTGTAGAAATCAAGAGCCTTGGATTCCAGTCTGGCTCTTCTGTCTTGCGCTTGCCCACAAGGACAGGACTTTTCCTCTTCTGAGCTTCTATGCTCTTGTGTGTTCGTGGGAGAAGGGGGCGGGGCGTGGACCCTAAGTGTTTTCACTGAGTTTCCTGGAACCTTAGGATTTGCCTTCGGATGTAGTAGTGAGGGCAACCAGAATGGGGGGTGAATCCACCTGGAACAGTCCTTTCATTTGTCTTACTGTTTGGCAGATGGAATTCTCAGTTGACAAACTCAGAAGGTGCAGAAAATACCAACTCCTTTATTGTTGAAATTTCTAAATTAATCTGACTCCCAGGACCCATTCCCAGAAGGTGGATGAAATCTTTACCCCAAATGTTCTGGAATTTTCTCAGGCAGTGGTGTCCACTAACAGGTCACATCTCTGTCCCCTCGGGTCATCCATGGGACATGGGTGCCTTTGGAACAATCCAATGTCCACTCTCTGCCTTTCTCTTCCTTATCCCACAGACTCTTCTCTAGCTCACCCCCCATCCCGGGGACACCCTTTTGATCCTGGAGAGAATTTCTGTGTGTGTGTGTGTGTGTGTGTGTGTGTATTTAAGATGTTCGGCCCGTCTATGCCAGTGAGTCCCTGTTACAGGTGCAATTATGTCCCCCCCACCAAAAAAAGGACATAGAGCCCTAACCCCCAATACTTCAAATGTGACCATACTTGGGGATAGGATTTTTACAAAGGTAATCGAGTTAAAATGAGGTCGTTCAGGGCGGAGGGGCGGGGGGGGCGGCTCCTAATCCAATATGAGAAGAGGAAATTAGGGCACAGGCAGGCTCAGGAGGAGGGTGACAGGAAGACACACGGAGAAGATGGCCATCTGTGAGCCCAGGCGAGAGGCCGCCACGGACAGATCCCGCCCAGCCCTCAGACAGAAGCAGCACTGCAGCGACCTGGTGACCTCAGAGGGCCACCCACAAGAAGGGGGAGAAATAAGCTTCTTTTGTTCAAGCCACTCAGTGGACAGCATTTCATTAGGAGCCCTAATGCAGATTCCTTCTCCCTGTTTTCTTTTTCAAGATTTTTAAAATTTATTTTTAAAGATTTTATTTATTTATTTATTTATTTATTCATGAGAGAGACAGAGAGAGAGAGAGGCAGAGACACAGGCAGAGGGAGAAGCAGGCTCCATCCAGGGAGCCTGATGGGGCACTCGATCCCGGGACCCTGGGATCACGACCTGAGCCAGAGGCAGAGGCTCAACCACTGAGCCACCCACACACCCCCCTTTTTCAAGACTTGATTTTTAAGTCATCTCTGTACCCACCATGGGGCTTGAACTTACATCCCTAAGACCACAAGTCACAGAGATCTAGAGTCACGTGCTCTAAGGACTGAGCCCGCCAGGCGCCTCCTTCCCTGTCTTCCACATCCCTTGGGAAGGCCCTGAGTTCTCCTAGGTCCTGCTAGTTCTCCTAAGAGCCGCTCAAATGGGAGAAAGGGGTAGGGAGAGCAAGGAAGTAAATGCTTCATAATCTCATTCAGCTACACACACCTGAGAGCAGGGAATCAGGGGTTTAAAACAGGTTACAAATCCTGGGGCTGCTGAGTTGATCCCTGTTATCAGCGGGTGATGGGTCCAGGGGGGTTCATTGTACAATTCTCTCTACTTTTGTGTCTATTCGAAAATTTCCATTGTGAACCATTAAAGAGAGAGAGAAAGCATCACTTCTCATCGCTGGGCCATAGGATGTCCGAGACGCTTCCGTCTCTAGAGCTTCAGCACCAGAGCGTCGGCCACCGCCTTATCGCTACAGCCCCACTCAGCTGACAGCGTCAGGAGCTCCCCTTCCTCAGAGCCCGAGCTGGCTCGTAGTCAGAGGAGACTTCCTTCCCCAGCCAGGCTTCAGGCCCCAGGACCCTGCAGCCTTGGAGCAGCTGCAGCTGAGCAGAGCAAGGACAAGCAGGCAGATCCTCCCAGATCCCAAGGCCCCAGCCAACTTCTGCAGCACCCGATGCCTCCTCCCTCCAGCTCCTCTCTCTGCTCCCCTGAATCCTGTTATTAACATTTATTTTATTTTTCTTAAAGATTTTATTTATTTATTTGCACACACAGAGAGTGCGAGAGCAGGGGAAGAGGGAGAAGCAAGCTTCCCACAGGGAGCCTGATGTGGGACTTGATCCCAGGACCCTGGGATCATGAGCTGAGCCCAAGGCAGACACTCAATCAACAGAGCCACCAACAGCCAACACCCCCTGTTATTAACATTTAAAATACTGAATAACAATTCAAATATTCCTAATGGTCCCTCACATTAT